GACGGGATCAAACGTCCAAGGTGCCCAATCGAGCCGGTGACCATTGTCACAACCGGAGAGGTGTGGGTGTGGTTCGTACGCCTCCTCTTGGTTGGTTTGGAATCAGGGTTTTTGGCCAACTCCCCTAGGTGAACTGCCAGTGGTTCAATAACCCGGTTACAGCTCTGAATGTCGGTTTTTCGTCCTCTCACTTTGGTGGGAAAACACCTCCACCACGAGAAGGTAGTGAGTAGGGCTTAATCAGCAGAGGCTATTTGAGACGCTTGGTTGTATGGGAGCATTTCGCGAGGTGCAAGGGTAGGATGACCAGCCTCAACCCTAGACATCCACCCCCGACAATACTGAGGCTTTTGGAGGCCAACGAACTGTATGGACAAGGGTGTTTGAGGGGATCGAGTTGAACAGTTTGGATACCTCTGATTCCGGAACAGTAAACTATTAATTGTAACCATACATCTCTCCAAATTCACGTCCTTCCTTTCATCTTTATACCTTCATTCTCTACGATCACTTCGAAAGCACCTTAGGAACTCCAGGCGCTTATCTTCGCTTTACTAAACCCTTAGTCCCAATGGACAGTCTGTAAGCTGCAACACCATTGCAGACCAAACCCGTCGGATTGGAATCCTGCGAACGGGGGCTCACTTCTGGTCATTGTATACTGTTCATTTGATTGAATTTTGACTTTGGCTTCTCTTCCTGATGTAGCGGCACCAAGGGATCCACGGAGCCCATCAGTGCAAGAGGCCGAACAAATTGGCACACCACTGGTCCATTCCGTGAATCGACCTGACCTAAACTGCAATCTTCATGCAACAAATCAAATTTGGAAGGTGTGACAATGTCAGGATGTTGTGATCTCCAGGTTGATTGACGAACCACATAGGGTCCTGGCAAACAGGTTTCTCTACAGAAGGTGAAAGTTTAGCTTGAACCCATTTGGTTTTTTTCATAGGCACCAAGCACTGCTAATCTTGAGTGTGGGCTCCAATTCTTGGGAGGTCGTTAATTCTCCACCAGTCAAGTGCATTTAAATGAAATGGAAATTTTTGAGGTGACCGAAAAAAGCACTAGAGAGCATTTCCGACCTGTTTGGGACTCATTAGCAGTGCGTTCCATTTGTGTCCCTACCGGGACCAACACCCAAGATCAGCAAGTGTCTGCTGCCTGTGACAAAACCGAATGGGCCAACCCAAACGTTCACCGTCTAAATTAATTGAGCCACCGCACAAGGTGATGAACACAGGCCGCGTATCTCAGGGGTAAGGGTTTGCTGTCCCGACTCGAAGGTTCGCAGTTCGAGTCCTGACGGGGACACAAATTACGCACCGCTGACCGGTCCCAAACAGGGAGAAACAGCTGTCCAGTGCCCTTTGTCGGTTATCGCAAACATTTCCACCGCATTTAAATGCAGTTTTCCTTCCCTTTCTGATAATCAAAAACCCATATACACATCAACAAAGACAAAATATCTTGACGTCACGCTATCACACAACTTATGACGATCATTACACGTTAATAACACATTCGTAAAGTGAGAAAGCTTTCATATTTCTCGCTCCGATTAGGAATACTTTCTGTTCCGCACAATTTGATTGTTAGGTTTGTGAATAATACATCCATACTCACCCACTGGTTGCACTGCTCCCCGGTATGTTGAAGAAAACTACTTTCAAATCCTCCATTACTCACATGAAAAACTACTTTCATTCAATGGCAACATCTCTTAAAACACATATGTACGTGCAGTCGCGTCACTATTGTTGAACTTGCAGACTTTATCATGGACAGACAACTACAAACATGTGAAAATTGTAGTTCCCAAATGCTCTCAGACACTTATCTCACCCATCACATAACAAACTTTCAAAAGCTGTATCGACATCATCCACACGCTCAAGAATCAAACTTTTATTTGCTCGTGCATATTCAAACAGTATTTCTGTTTTTATCATGTGTTTTATATCTGTTTCTCGATACAGCGAAAGTTTCCAAAGATTTACGTAATTGCTTGCTCCATTGGTTAGATCAATAAATGATAATTTTTCATTTCATTTTGTTTAATTTTGTAGATCTGCGTTCCCAAAAATTCACCCATCCGGAGGCATAAAGCTGCCGCTGAAATGATTTGACCAGATTAGTTACGGTGAAAAATCTCTTAGATGGTCCAAGGAGAGATCAGAATTCCCGTAATCCTCAGACAAGGGAAAAACAATCGGAGAAATAGTTAAACGAACAGTGAACGGTTGCGTGACACAAACATCGTGTATGGAAGTTACTTTGGTATTTAATGACTGGTGTCATCTATCACATCGAGACCGTACTTATTCATTTCTCACAGGTCATGAGAAACCAGAGGGGAGGTATTCAAAGTGGACCAGGGCATTATGATACATCAAATAAAACATTAATGAAAGAATGAACAGTATTGGTAAGTCCAGATTCAACAAAAAGACTAACAAGTATCACAAATCCCGGTGAATCAAACAATGAGCAGACCATTTTCTTAGATAGGTACTCACGGTGAGAGATCGGGACGGGGGGGATGTGAGGCTCATTGATCGCGAAAAACCCATTGTGAAACGTTAGCTGGTAATTACTACAACTACGACTCACCGTAATTGAATTCCCACATGAGAGAAAGCTAAATTGGTGAATTCGCGGACTGAGTGTTTCTCACCGCTCGCAATCACAAAGTCTTCCGGTTTATCTTGTTGCAGCATTAACCACATGGCACGGACATAGTCCCCGGCGAAACCCCAATCGCGTTCGGCATTCAAATTACCCAACTCCAGTACCTCCTATACAATGCGAACAAGGAGAAAAAACAGAACAGTGAATGGATGCGTGTGTGACGAAATAGAATATCAAGTGACGGCACATCCTCCCCGTAAACACACACACATATGAAAATGGATATACACTGGAAACATCGCTTCACTGCAGCCATCTACTGAATTCGTGGGTGTTCAAATCCGTTCACACCAAATGGGTACCTGGGACTTGAGGGAACGACATACGTCGCGGTAACCCACACCAACGAAGGATGTTTTTTGTCTTTGGGAACCCTAATCCATCGAGTAAAGGATCTGATTCGCAAAGCACTGAGTCTCAGAGCTAAAGCGGGACCGAAGCGCCTGCTTGGTAGTTTCTGGAGATTAGTCATATAAAGCTCACGATTTTCACTTCAATGTTTTTCTCGCTGGTGCGTCGATTGTCATTGCCCCGTTCGGGTGCAGTTCTTAACTAAGGCAAGCGGAACAATGACAGGACAGCTGGGGGATATCCCGCTTGGACGGTCGGTAGCTGTCCAATGAATTGCGAAGACTTCACCCACCGTCCGGAGGAAGCCCCAGGTACCTCGACATTAAGTTCATCTGACGGGCTATTTTTACCGGTAAACTGTTTCTCTCCTCATGTATATTTGATGGAGTGACCTCTACAGGAGCGAAAGTGGATAGGCATAGGAGGCCAGAAAGTGCCCAATCAGCTAATCTCGTGAGAGACAGCATTGTCTGCGTTTCCCCTGTTCGACTTTCAGGTATGATTAGATCTATGGTGGTGCGAAGTCATTCTGTATACCTCACAGGGGCATGGAGACAAGCAGATAATCACACCACATCAATGTGTATTCTGGTCGTGATGGGACACTTACAATACGTGTTATCTGAACAATGGAACTACTACCGCTGGGAGATACTACTGAAATCACAAAATAAGCTCACAGTCATAATTAGAACACAGGTCGTAGGCAAACATGTTTTCGTTAAGTTTCTTATTAAGCCAGTACATGAAACACTGGGTCTCCTTTATCCATCGCATCAAAGCCGAAAGAAGACATGTCGCGAGATGTTAACATTTCGTTTAATCTTCTCAATCGCTAACTTTGATACGTACAATCACATTTATAGCACATTAGATTTGTAAATCCTAGTGAACGGACATGTACAGTTAGACAGGGGCTATTAGAATTTTAAAAAAATAGGTCAACTCCACGGCAAGTGAACTGATTGGATCAACAACTTTTGGGCGCACATAACGGGATTATCTAATCGGATTAGCAACGCCTCACTGATTGCCAACAGTTTCCAACTACAGTTACGTATCAACGGTTTGAAAGAGGAAGCGGGATCAATAATGTGCATGGTTGTCATGAGATGTTTTGCAGTTGATGACCCCGGGTTAAGTGTGACCGCCTGAGTAATAGGCGCGGGTTGCGTCATCGATTTGACCAACAACTTTGGAATGTGTTCGGCCATCCGCTGTGATAATTGACGGTCGGTTCCGCCTATGCATGTGTCACTGCAACTGCAGGTGAACTGGTATACTATGTGTGAGACAGAACTGGATTGCTAACCATGTACACGTTTGTCCAAATCGATTCCACGAGTAGACGCAATAAGTCGGAGTTAAGCAGTTCGGAATGTGCGGTTGAGAGCTGACTTCAACAATTGGCGCATATGGTTCAAAAGGTGATTGCCCTTACTCTCTGAAGGATTCATTTGAGTTTGTAGACTTGATAGAATCTTTAAACGCAAACAACAGGCGCATATTTTCGCTGGATGTTACTTCGCTATTCACCAATGTTCTCTTAAAGGAAACAATTGATTTTTTGTGTGAATACATTCAAAGAAAACATATGAATATTGGAATTCCAGTGAATCGCTTAGAGAAGCTCCTTCTGCAATGCACTTTCAATGTTCAGTTTCAGTTCAATGGCTGCCTGTATCGTCAAAAAGATGGAATCGCTATGGGCTCACCATTAGGCCCCTTATTGGCAGACATTTATGGCAGTTGGAGAATGAGACATTGTCCACCTATATCGAACAGTGTGTCCTATACAGGCGTTATGTTGACGATATTATTTGCGTTATTGACAATTCACAGAATCCCTCAATGTTTCTGAACAGTTTCAATCGGGCTCATCCTAACATAAACTTCACGTTAGAGATGGAATCTGCTCAGGGAATGGCGTTTCTTGATATGTACTTGTCACGCCGGGAAGATGGCTCCATTAAACGAAGTATATACAGAAAGAATACGTGGACAGGACAATATATCCATTTTCATAGTTTTTTTCCCGATGCAGNCGTAAGCGCAACCTAATCCAGTGCATCGCCAATCGTGTAAGAAGAATTTATTCTACCGACACAGTGAATAATGAATTGGCAACAGTTAAGTCAACGTTCCTAAAAAAATGGATACCCAGAGGAACTTGTCGATCGTTGTATGAGAGCTTACATTGCGAAATCAAAGGACCCAACAGTGAAGGAAAAGTTTACGTTTCATTGCCTTTCAAAGGTGACACCCTTGCGAGGACAATGAGCAAACAGCTGAGGAGTGTAGTAGAATATAGTTATTTCTCAACAGAATTGCGCATATTCTACTCTTCCAAATCAGTTCTTCCATTACAGATGAAGGACAGGCTACTGATAGAGATGACCCCTTTCTGTGTTTACCAGTTTACCTGCTCCTGTGGCGCAAATTACGTGGGTCGCACCACCAGACCCCTGGTCGATCGGATGAGAGAACACCACCCAGCTTGGTTCAGTCAGGGACCGATAAAAGCAGGTGCGAGTGCGATTGCTATACATCTCGCCGAGACGAATCACACCGTCGATGTGCGGTATCGTTCCGTTCGATCTATTGACTGACGGGGATCCGGTATAAGGATGTGAAAACTCGACTGCTATCTACAGTAGAGGCGATAACAATTAGAATAAATAAACCCCCATTATGTGCAAGGTGGTGGTGGCGCAGTGGTTTAGTCGCTATCACCG